GTCTTAAACACTAAAATCGTATTATCTTAATCCTCCCGTTGCCCGAAATTTCACGATCGGAAGGAGGGTCGGTGCCTGCGCAAGAAGCTCTGCTAAGCGTGGTCTGTGACTCTGAATGCTTGTAATCTTATAGGTATTCGAGCAAAATTTAAAAATAAAAGGCAAACGCAAAACTTTGTGTGCCAACTACAAATGCTTGTTTCTTCCACAATCGGTGGACGATTAAGACAACGGTGAGCCCAATTTTAGGGGTGAAACCTCGTGCTTCTTGCTGCTTTGATTTATCAGTGACCGATATCATAGCCTTCGAGTTATTCTCAATAAATCGAATCGTTTCATGTACCTATCTGGATCTGGAACTGGTCTGACGAGTGGTCACAGTTGCCGGGTGTCCCGATTTCCCTACTTTTGCCGTCGCCGGTGGGGGCGCAGAGACGCTGTCCGCGCTGCTGACCAGTAGCGGTGCCGGTGACAGTCGGTTCTCGAAAGGTCCAGGGGCCGGCGGACGCACCGGTGCAGGTGTCGGCCGGGAGTAGGTCGTGCCGCTGCTGCCGCTGAGAGCTGGGCTGGCCCGCCCAACAGACTGCAAATGCATGTGCCACTCGGTGCGGCCGACAGACCCGCCCCAGATGCCAAAACGGGGCGTGACGAGAGGGTAACACGGTCATTGCGGGGCCATGGTCGACTACTAAGCGAATACCGGCCTACTGAATATAGCGGGGTTTTAGGATTATCAGTCCGACCAATCTCTGCCATTTGTTTATCGATGGCAAAGTAGCTCTGTGTCACACCTCAAGTTGCCTTTGCCCTTTACGATGTGTTTCTGCATTAACCCTCGCCGACACAGGCCATTTTGCGTCCTTCGACGGCACAAGGCCAGGTCACCAGGTCACTTGAAGTGACCTCACCTCATAAAAAGTTTCAATGTCTGCCATAGCTACACCGAGTGACTGATCGCTTTGAAACTTTCAGCGATTGCTAAGAGGAATAGCATGTACAAAATGTATATATCCGAATTTTGATGACCTAAGGTCAGGTCAGTTTTGCGACCTCCCCATGATAAGTCAATGGGAGAAAACTGAAATGCGCCGCTTTTGGACGAAAGCTATTATAAACACTCCCAAACACTGAATTACAAGTAACTTAGACACACTGAACATGAAAATGGTGTCTGTGACCAGTGTTTATGCCCGTGAGATCATCTCAGGTCACGAATGTTATCTATGTTTTTCGCAAATAACTTTTGATAGAGGTATGCTAGAGCGATGAAAACGCCTTAGATGTGTTCAGCTCGACAATACGGATCGACTGATATGCAACATGATCATTTTCGGTCAGGTCATGGCCTTGATCTGAAGTCAAATTTGCAAGTTGACCTTTTAAGGTCAAATTATAGTTCATTCGATTCGTATTGACGAGAGGAACACGATGCCGGTAAAAGTAACCTCGTGCAATGCTTGTGTCAAGAGTTATTGCAGAAAAAACTGTTTCCGAAAAATTGGCTATTTTGGCAGTTTTTACCCCCTGTAGGCAAAACTGTTGACGTTAGGTCAAATCTGAGAGAATTATTCAGAAAAGGCGTAATAGGGCTATCGAATGCGCTTTTCTGCGGCGCTGTAGCTCTATTGGTTCCCGAGCTTTTCATTGGCTTCTTGGAAATTGTTGACATTCGACCTGAAAATCGGCGAAATTTTGCCTTCAATGGCCTCGGGTGACCTGACCAAAAAAGCGACTAAAGTGATTTCGTCATTATTTTTGGCGCTTTTTCGAACGCCGCCTTCCGCGTATCGCTATGTGGCCCAGGAGCCGAGTTAGAAGGTGGGGGGTCTTCAAACACCCCCCCCGCAGGGCGTGGAAATCCAGGACCCCCAGTGGGGCGTGGGTTAAAACGTGGCACAACGGTAATTATACGAGTACATTCGGAATCCTAGGCATTTTGAAAGTACAGGAAATGAATTGTGGATCAGTGTTGACTTAACCCGCGCCGTGCTGGGCGTTTTCACGCCCCCTCCCCCAAGGTTTTTCGCGAATATCTATAAAAAAAACGGCGGTGCCCAGCGCCGCCGTTTTTGGTATATCTGCTCATCACCTATTCCGCATATGTTGTTAAAATTTCAGACCCGTTTCGTTCAAGGTCAAGTCACCAGGTCACGTCAAGTGGCCTTACCTTGACCTCCGAACAAGTTCAAAGGCTCCCTTGCAGCTGCAGCTTTATCTATTGGCGTCTTCTTTTCAGTAACTGCGCTTTAAGAAATCGCCAGTCAAAGCCATCCGTTCAGATTGGTAAAACCACACATTACTTTAGCGGTGGACTGTACTTAGCTCTGAGAAGCGTTAGGTAGGTAGTAGGTAGGTACAGCCCACCGCTAAAGTAATGTAGGGTTTTACCAATCTCAACGGTTGGCTTTGACTGGCGATTGTTTAATGCGGAGTGATCGAAAAGAAGATGTCAATAGCTAAAGTTGCAGCTGCAAGGGTGACGAATGACGATACATATAAGGGACGCCGGTGAAAACAGGGCGCCGGAGGGCATACTAGTCACGTGACATTTGAAACTTCTCCCCCTATGTGGGCCTTCTATATGCCAAACGTCACGTGTAAATTTCACGAACCTTGATCAAATCGCCCCAGGCGCCCTGTTTTCACCGTCGTCCCATATAAGCTACATTCAAAGTTTCATTGTAGTCTGGTTAAAGGAAACAGTTCACTTTCCTGAAATGAGTATTTTGCTATGGATTTATGATTTTTTTATGCTCAAAATGATCAGAAAATAAAATAAAACTTTTTTTGTAAAAACAATTATTTTCTATATTTTAATATAGGACGAACTATATTTAATGTAAAATCATGTTTGACGCGGAAGCTTATTACGCGTTGACCAATCATATTGCGTAGTTCAAACCTATGCATGCTGCATTGGCTGTAAGCAGCATGCTGATTGGCTGACGATGACGTGGCTGCATTCCTGTGCAAGGCACACATTCCTCTGCAAGGCACTCTTTTCGGAACGAGAAATGGAATATCTTCGTCTAGGGTGATCGTTGAGCCGTAAAAGCTCCTGATTTGTGCTAGTCTCAGCTCAAGCTACGAAACTGCTATTCCAGTTCGAAACCCCATGTTAAAAGTGAACTATTTCCTTTAATCGTTCCTAAGCTTCAGAAGCAGAACATACCCATGACTGAAACCGCACATTACTCCTGCTGTGGACTGTACCTGTTGCCTGCAACTTAATTCCTAGATTGGGTTTTGATGGGCTTTAGTGTCAATCAAAGGCAAGCTCAGCTGATATCGGTGAGACTGTGAAAGGTCCTCAGACGTTTGTGTTTAGTGTCAAAACTGTTGGGAATTCATCGGCGGCGCTGGTGGTGCTATATTATGCATATACAGTTACACTGAGCCTACATTTACACTTGAACAGTTAGTCCGTAAGCGTACACATGTTGCATGCAAATATTCTCCGAGCGAGAGCTGCTTGGCGCTTGCGAAAATAATAATTAGCATCAATTTAAATTACGATGACCACGGTACGACTGAGAGGTGTTTTTCGTTAACCCCGCACTCCTTGTATCGAGAATGATTAAGTGCAATGTATTTTGTTACATGAATGTTATCTGTTATTGCTGTCAGAGTTAATGATTACATTGAACACATAACATTTAATCAGCTATACCTACCCATGTGGTTTTCAGCTAAGGTTTATTTGTTTGTCGCTCGCCGCACCAATTTCAGAGCGTAAAATAATTAACGGCCAACGTAGGAATGGTAAAAAAGAACGTTGCTTTCATTCTGGCCAATAGGTAGGACTTCCAACATCTCTGATGGCCAACACAGTTCGAATTTTGTGGCTTCTCATCCGACACCGTAGTTCGTGAACTAATAGGGCTAGTATAATATGACAGATTCGGTAGCTCATTTAACCCTATTAGTGGCAGGCTCCTGGCTACCCCCTATTAGTGGCAGGGGGGGGGGGCTGTTTACGACCCCCCCTTGATATCTCGAGATCTAACGGGTCGATTTTCAAAATTCAAACGGCATTCGATTTCGCTCAACGAGATCTACATTTCTAAAAAAAAAATAAAATTGAAAAATGTCAATAGGGGGGTAGAGGGGGGTAAAAACGGGCAAATTACGCCGATTGTGGATTGCTCTTGATCGTCAATACATACATACATACATACAATTGCAGATACATTTTAGACTGTTTATCACGGCCAGGTTTCTGAACCAATCTTAACGCAACTTTTGCCGATCGATAGAGAATGAACCAGGAATTCACATGGATCCTAAAAATATGCATTTTCAAAAATCATAGGCGGATACAGATCATTGAGATTGGGGGTACACAAAAGTATAGTAAATAAGGTTTTTGTTGGTACTGTTTCTAAAAAGGGTGGCAATGGTCTTGTTATGTTACAATTTTCTTATGAGAGAACGACTAAAATTGTATTGGTCATGCATAGGCGGTGTCAGGGCACCTATGTTGGGAGGAAAAAAATAACCCCCCTTTTTGGACGCCTGGATCCGCCTGTTATAGCAAAAACGTGTCAAAAGAGGATGCACAATAACTTTGTATATGTTATCACATGATACCTTTCATTCACTGTTCGTAAAACTGGTGCAGCATCGTGATCTTCGCCCAAATGACTCGCTTCACGAATAGGACCCCCCAATTCCCAGTGCTCTGGAGCCGCCCCTGGTAAAGTTATGAACTTGAAATTTTCAGGGAATGTGCCCAATTTAGTTTAAGGAAAAGTCAGAAAATTTGAGCATCGTAGCTTCAGCGGTTTTGGAGATATTCCCGAAAAACCTGAGGGGTGGATAAAAACAACCCCCCCCCCCCTGCCACTAATAGGGTTAACGACCTTCCCGTAGTATGTCGATGGATCTGACTTCAGGACAACCGATTGGCCTGTTGACTGGCGCTATTTTTGGCACCCTGCTGTGTCGTAAGTGTGCGTTTCGGGGAGTCTGACCGGAGGCGCGTGTCTGTTTGTGGGCAGATTCTGGTGTGGCACACGCAGACCAAGCAGCCGCGCGTGCCGTTCACCCAGGTGGACCCGGACAAGTACCGCGGCACCAACATGGAGGCGCTGCGGCGCATCGTCAACCCCAGGTGATGGTGGCGCGGGCGGGCCCGGCCGCCCGCACCGGAGCGCTCCGGCCGGCGCCGGGGTCGCGCCGGGTGATGTGACGCCGGCGCCGCGCTCGAACCGCAGCACGGACAGCCGCGGCAGATGGGCGCGGCTGACTGCCGCCGTCCCGTTTGGACGCGCTGCAGGGTGACGGGACCGGACGGACGGGGTGGCCCCGACTGCGGAAATGACGCCTCATTGCTGAGCCGCCACTCCGCCACACCAAACTCCACATTTCTGCAACGTCGCTGCTTCCCGTTAGCATGTTTAAAGTCGTAACCGTGCCCACCCATGGCCTTCAGCTGCGCGAGGGCGACGGCTTCCGTGGACCCCTTTCTGCGTTAGCAGAACACTGGCGGGTCACTGGGGGTGCGGGCGGGCCACTGGGTTGTAGAGGGCTTTTATCCCCTCCAGCTGCTAGGGCTTAGTTGCGTGACCAGTGCACCTGTGAGCATTTATTTTTGTACCAAACCATAGCTACCATGGCGCTGCAACGAGTGTTGCAGGACATGAACCTTGCCGCGGTGGGCCGAAGGTAGGCTGAATTCATGTATGGTTGGTCTGATAGTGCATATGCTGTTATATTTGCCGGACTTAGGCTTGGTTCAGATTCCAGAAAGGATGTGTGCTCGTATGCATAAGGTTTTGCACACATGCTGTGTGCTTGTGATATTTTATGAGCCATTTTCCTTGCAGGTGATGATGCCGGCCCCATTTTATGCAGGATTGTGTATCTGAGAAAGTATCCCGGTTCAACTTTGGGGCCATATAATCGGACCTGCGTGTCACAAGTGTAGGGCGGCATGGACTGTTCCCTCAGGTGCTTTTACGAGTAATGCATATTACGAGAGGAGTTTGCTTTGGGCATTGGCCGCAGCTCCGCTTGTAACGCTAATTTGCTTTCCACATGCGCCAGGGGTAGGCAGTTGTAAGTGGAACTCTACATATGATGGTTATTGATCAGCTCCTTCAATGTCTGGAAAACAAGAGCTCATGGCGCCTATTCAGTTAGCTTCATTATTTTTTGGATATGTCGAGACTTTAATGACCGGAAGCAACAAGAACATTTTTGAAATGTTATCGATCCTATCAACCAACTCCGAAGATGATGATAATGAGTAGACATAAGCGGCAATGATATAACTACGTTTAACTGGCTTGTTAAGGAGCACAAAGCTAAGCATGCACCTTTTGAAGTATTTTGCCAAGGATGATTTCATCAGCTAGGCATTGATGCGACAACTTCCTCCCATTTTATTCAGAGACTAAACTCAAATATCTCAGGGGATGTTTTTGGTCAAAGAGGCTTGTAAAACTGAGGCCGTGAGGCTGCGCAGCTGGTAGGACATTATCTGATTTTGTGCGCTACTGTGAAATGTGCTTAACCTTTGAAGTGCATGGTGCAGCGATGTATTTTTACGGACGTCTGTGACTGGTTTGGTGGGATTACAGACGTGCAGTACGTCAGCTGACCTATCGCCAGCGAGTGGGTGCACGCTACGCAGTCAGATTGCCTCCTCAATCGAGACTGAAAAAGTCCAGCCCGCCAGCCTGACAACGCACTCGCACGTGCACGCGGCCTTGATCTGCCTTTCAGGCGCTCTTTTGGTATTCCTTTTCTTCGCTCGGGCCTTACGCTTCTTTTTTAGCAAATGATGAGAGCAGGTCACTGTTTTTAACCGAAAGTTTGTGTTCAATAGCTAAAGACACTATTCGTTATGTTTTTAATTGAAAAACAAACCTCAGTTCCCGGGCAATTTTCAAGCCTTATTTATTGCATGTTAATTACTTGCTGAAACTGAACCACTCATCGATAATGTGCAAAGTATGTATAGACTTTTATCCACTAAAATGTATAGGTACTGTTCGTTAATTCGAGCCTAATCTGATTCATCGGAGGGCGACCCGATTTGTTTCGTGATGCACATTAGCTTTGTGGGCCGAGGCGCCTCACAGATACTTAAGTAGCATTTGATTAAGATGTTCATCCCTGTTATGGTAGGGGAAAGTGGGTGTATTGCGCCCTCCTAACCAATTGCGCCCACCATTCCCACGGATTCAATGGCATGTTTAGAACTTTGTGTTCGAAAACATTATTTTCACCACTGTATTGTTCATTTTATGGCCCAAACACTCCGATGAAGCCAATCAGCAAGGCTCATTACGCCATCAAAGATGTTATGGCGTTTTCTTAACTTTTTTGCAGTATTTTGAACCGTTGGCTATAAAAATTTGCGATATTTGTGTGATTTTCAGAGTGATATTTAGAAAGAAAAACCCTTTTTTCATTGTATTTCACTGAAACCGTAAACTTCCTGCAACATCTTTATGATAACTTCTATGCTTTTATTAAAAAGTACCTCAATTTTAATTGCGCCCATGGCAATTGCGCCAGGGAGGCGCAAATAGAATGATGGTGTAGCCATTGTATCACGACAGTATGAATGCATCATTAACTGATTGCAATAAAGAAGGAGTTTAATGTCAGGCAGGGGAGCAGCCCGCTGTCGTCAGTCCGCAAATTATTTCTATCGTCAAACTTATAATGCAGCTGCCATTTAGGCTACGACTTGTGATGTAATTGACAAAATACGACATTTTCAACATGGACTCAGGCGTGAGAAGTGAGAGCTATGATAAAAAAGTAAAAACTGATGCCATTAAGTTGTCAAAACGATAAAAATCATTAATTTTGAGAGAAACGAGTGAAAATTTAACTCAATAGGGGCATACGTTCACATATATCTAGTCGGTTACAGTAAACGTTTTCGTTGCACTTTTACAAGCGTACGGACACATGTAAAGTTATCTACCTGGGCAAAAAACATCGCGATACATATCTACATTTATTATTTATCCAGCCTGAATAACAAAATAAATGTTTAGGTAAGCCGCAATGACATTAGACTGCCGGGGTGTATGCATTCCGTCTCATTCACTTAGCCATGTTAAAGTTTAGGGCGCAATTGGGTTCTAATTGCGCCATCCCCCTGGCACAATTTACAGCAGTTGTTGGCAAATGCGCCCTTTTGCATGTTTCTGAAAAAGCAGCTGTCAGAAGCAAACGAAACATTCTTTATTGATCGGGAGGCTCTTAAATCGTAGCCAATGAGCTCCTCTTTGAAATGGTTACCAGTACATGCTTATATCTCCAGCGGTTTTCTTACAATTAGCGTTTTTCCTTAAGGTGGCGCAATTCACCCTCCTTCCCCTATGTATTGACGGAATCAACCACGCCTGGAAATTGAGATTTGGCAGTGAGCACCGCGCGTCGACACACGGTCGCGCACTTCCGTATGTAACTGTACACTCGTCGTATCGACACTGACAGTGGGTGTTTGAGATCTTCGCGTCGCTGTGTGTGTGTGTCGTGTCAGGTTACTGTTTTGTACGACGCTTGTCGCGGGCCTGCAGCAGGTCTCCACTGCAGGAATGCGTGTCTGGGCGCGTGTTTTGCTGTAAATCTGCGCTGTCCTGCGTCCTTGTGATAGCTCTGCCTGTCCGAGTCCTGTGTTGGCGTGTGACACCTGCCCGTCTGACCGGCTGCCGCTGTTGACAGCTGCTGCCGCCGGCCCCGCACCCAGCCTGCGTCCTCGGCCGCGCCTCGGTCCGCCGCCGGCCGCCCCACACTCTCCGGATCCTCATCCTCGGCCAACGGCACCGGGCCACCGACTGTCGCCAACGCCACCGCGCAGGGACGCGCCCGGGGCGGCGCCCCCGCCGCCACGCCCTCGGCCGCCGGCCGCCGCCGGCCGACAAAGGCCGTAAATGGCAGCGGCACAGCCGTAACATCCGCTTCCGGCAATACCAGCCAGCTCATGTCGAATGTTGGAGCCACGAGGCGCCGCGGGTGGGACGGCGGAGCTGCCTCGCGGGGCCGACTCGGCTCGGGGGCCGGCTCGCTCCGCGGGAAGTCGCGCGCTGATGTAAAACCCTCCGTAAAACCCGCAAACCCCCCAGTCTCTCGGCGTCCAATTGGCCGCCGTCGTCCGACGGTGAGGTCGAACCGTCCTCTGTCCCCGCCAGCTCAGCTAAAATCAAATCGCTCTGCCTCGCAGTCTCAACTATTCCGGCTTCGTCCCAAATACGCAAAGTCTAAAGCCGCCGAGTTCAAAGGCATCCAGTCCATATACCCTCAGTTCAAATACCTCCAGTCCAATGGCGTCCAGTCCCGAAACGCCAAATCCGAAAACGACCAGTCTGATGGCGTCCAGCCTAGATACGCCCAACCCAAAGGCAGCCAATCCAAAAACGTCCAGTCCAGTGGCGTTCAGCCCAGATACGTCCAACCTAAAAACGTCCAGTCCAATGGCATCCAGTCCAAATACGCCCAGTCCAGATACGCCCAATCTAAAAATGCCCAGTTTGATGGCGTCCAGTCCGGATACGCCCAAACTCAGCATCCCGAGCCCCGTCTGAATGCCCTTTCACTGGCGCCCGTCCTGTCCCACTCCCAGAGTGGAATGACGTCCCCGTCAGGACGTGTGATATCTACCCCTGAATCTGGATCTCATTCGGCTCAGCCTTCTTCTGCTCCCCGCAACTCATCAGTCTTCCCCACACCTTTCCCGTCGTTTCTTCAACATTCCTCCTTCCCGTCTCATGTTTCCTTTTCGGCTTCTCTGCCCCAGTCCTCCGTCTCAACTCATTCCAATGTCTCCCTGCGTCGATATAACCTTTCCTCTTCTCACACTCCCCTTTCCTCGTCTCAAACTCCCCTCTCCCAGTCTCAGACTCCCTTCTCCCCGTCTCAAACTCCCCTCTCCCCGTCTAAGGCTCCATTCCTCCCGTCTCAGAATCTCCGTTCTCCGTCTAAGACTCCTCTTTCGCCGTCTTTAACTTCTTTCTCCCCGTCGCAGTCTCCTATCTCCAAGTTTCAGTCCCCTCCTTCGCCGTCTCGGACTGCCGTCTCCCCGTTGGGAGCCTCCCTCTCCCCGCCCTCCCCTGCGCTCCCGGAGCCACTCAGTCGGGGAGGGCGGCCCGCCGGGGCGGGGCAGACGCCGTAGCTCCGCCCCACCTCTGGCCGACCGCTCCAGGGTGGTGGGAATGGGTTCTTCTCTCGCGACGCACAGCGCTAGTTGGCCGGTGCTGTGACGCCAAACTGGGGACGCACGGCACGGCAGGACAAGGGGACGGCCGGCCGGTCAGTCGATGGAACCAGTGCTGCCAGCCATCACGGCCCCTGCTACGAGTGTCGGATTCCGTGCCAGGGATATGTTTAGAGAGGCGATAACTGTACGAAGGGGAATGGGGTGTTTCCAATGTGCGGGTTGACTGAATTCAAAAGCATTATTGAGATATGTGAAATACATTTCGTTGGTTGTGTCTCTGGATTTTCATGTGCGGTGCGGTGCGTCCAAAAAATTCGGAATCACAGGCACAGTAGTGTGTTAGAACTTCCCGCAAGTCGATAACTGCAAGGAGAGGGGAGTATCGAGGGAGAAGCTTGAGCTCCTTAACCCGCGCCCGGCTGGGGGGTCCTGGATTTCCACGCCCTGCTGGGGGGGGGGGGTGTTTGAACACCCCCGCCTTCTAACTCGGGCTCCTGGGCCACGTAGCGATACGCAGAAGGCGGCGTTCGAAAGAGGGCCAAAATAATGACGAAATCACTTCGGTCACTTTTTTGGTCAGGTCAAAAGTCAGGTCACCAGAGGTCATTTAAGGCAAAATTTCGCCGATTTTCAGGTCGAATGTCGACAATTTCCAGGAAGCCAACGCATAACTCGGGAACCAATAAAGCTACAGCGCCGCGGAAAAGCGCATTCGATAGCCCTATTAACGCCCTTTCTGAGTAATTCTCTCAGATTTGACCTAACGTTAACGGTTTTGCCTGCAGCGGGCAAAAACTGCAAAAATAGCAGATTTTTTTTCGGAAACAGATTTTCTGCAATAACTTTTGAGCCAAGCCTTGTACGAGCTTACTTTTACCGGCATCGTGTTCCTCTCGTCAAGACGCATCGAATGAACTATAATTTGACCTTGAAAAGTCAACTTGAAAATTTGACCTCGGGTCAAGGTCATGACCTGACCGGAAAGGGTCATGTTGCATATCAGTCGCCCCGTATCGTCGAGCTGAACACATCTAAGGCGTTTTCACCGCTCTAGCATGCCTCTATCAAAAGTTATTTGCGAAAAACTGTTAGACACCATTCGTGACCTGAGATGACCTCAGGGGCATAAATAGGGGGTCACGGACACCATTTTCATGTTCAGTGTGTCTAAACCACTTGTAATTCAGTGTTTGGGAGTGTTTATAATGTCTTTCGTCCAAAAGAGGCGCATTTCAATTTTCTCCTGTTGACTTATAATGGGGAGGTCGCAAAATTGACCTGACCTTAGGTCACCGATATCGAAATTCCGAGATATACATTTGATAGATACTGTTACCCTTATCAATCGCTGAAAGTTTCAAAGCGATCGGTCACTCGGTGTAGCCATGGCAGACATTGAAACTTTTTATGAGGTGAGGTCACTTCAAGTGACCTGGTGACCTGACCTTGAATGACCTTGGTCTGAAATTTTCACAACATGTGTAGAATTGATGTATGATAAGGTGTACCAAAAAACCACAAGGGGGTGTTCAAACACCCCCCCCCCCCAGCAGGGCGCGGGTTAATGGTTAACTCATCTATTCTCCAATATTGAAGCATCGAATCTCGCCCAAAAACGGTCCAGCCAATAACATCTCATGCGGTCAGTAGGTTGCTTTCTTCAAGCAGTCGATCAATTGTTTGAACTAGGGGTTCGATGTGAATTGAATACGTTACCGTCAGTCTCCATGGCCTCCACGCCACTGCAGACAGTGTTTACAGCAAACCCTCCCTCGCCTGCGCTCCGCCGTGGAGAGGGGAGGATGAGGACGGGGGTGGGGCGGACTATCGGCTCTACTGGGGGTACTCGTGAATAATGCGTCAGCGTGGGGCCGACCGGCGTGCGCTATCGACCCCGCCGCGATGCGTCACCGACCGGACAGCAGCCGTGCGTGCCGACTCTGATATGCCAGCCGACCTGTGTACCTGTAGGGGCCCGCGGGTCGGTACCGACTTGTTTGTTTTGTTGGGTCTGATTAGATCATTTTAAATCCGGACGGCTAACACGATTTAGGGGGTGACTAGGCCGTCTGTCTGTCCTAATTGTCTGGGCGGCCGTCCCCTAGTGGTGTCAGTTTCAGAAAATGCATGTCCAATGTCTGTCCAATGTCCAATACTTACGTCGACTGTCCGTCCACAAATGTCCAAGCCAGCAATTCATCCAAGGATGTCCGAAACCTACGCATTACCCAATAGTTTACACTCTACAATGTTATTTTATTTGCTTTAAATGTATATTACTAGCTCACATGTGTTAATCATATCGAAAGCAGAGCTTTCTTTTCACCAATCAATGTTAAACACGCTGTCGCTTACTTTATAAAAATGCTGAGGTAACAAGTGATTGTCTAAAGTTGTATAAAACCTGTTGTCATTGTACAACCAAATTCCGAATTGGACATTAGACACAATCGGAATTCAGAAGATTAAAGTTCCGATTGACGGCACTAGTCCCTACCCATTACCCTACTATTATAGCTATCTAGCTAGCTAACTATAGCTATCTAGCTTAGGTCGAGGCTAAGTAATTCTGACTGAGTGGCCACTATTTTTATCCGAATACGCTTGTATACTCGGGGATAGTTGTTCCCAAACTATGCTCATTTGAGTTCACATCACTAAATTGTAAAATCTACTTTTTATAGATGAGTTATGGTCTTTTGAGTTTGATTCACCCCACCCCTGGCGTGTCATTAGTAGCCTGAGTTCGAAGCGCAGCACGCGGGACTATCGTCCAGCCGCTGCCGGTGGGAGGGGACCGGTCTGTCTCCTCCGGCGCCCCTCGGGCCCGTGCGGCGGACCGCGTGAGCGACGTCATGCCCTGTCGTAAAGATCAGCCGCACGCAACCAGCCGCGATAAGACACACGTTCTCGTCAACAGGCCGGGGCCGCCCAGCGGACGTCGGGTCGCAGCCAGCAGGGGTCAGACCACACCACCAGGCCCAGTCGTGCGGGCGACCCCAGGCGCGCGTGAACTGAACACGGCCCGGCGAATAGTGACGATGGTTAGATAGCCATAACCGACACAATTTAGAGCATTTTCGTACCGTTTTAAATGCTATACTCGGAAAGCAGTGTCCACTGCCCAACGAAGCACACATGCCTAACTGTGCGGGAAAATACATAATGTCCCCAGCATAAACGGCCACGTGAGAACACTGGTTGTATTACAGCAGTCGTCACCACCCGTCCCTCCCATATCGGTAGCAGCCGACATGGGAACAGCACAGACTGTGCAGCAGGAAATGTACCGATAACGACACAGCGCCGCGGCGGAGCGCGACTCAACGGCGCCGGCCTCCTCACAACAGACAACGACAGATTCACAACAGAGAACGGCCAGAGATTTACAACAGTCAACGGCCAGAGATTCACAACAGACAACGGCCAGAGATTCACCCAGAGAACGGCCAGAGATTTACAACAGTCAACGGCCAGAGATTCACCCAGAGAACGGCCAGAGATTCACCCAGAGGTTCACAACATTTTCAACGGCCAGAGATTCGCCCAGACAACGGCCAGAGATTCGCCCAGAGAACGGCCACAGATTCACGGAACCGACGCGACCGCTTCACAAAGACACAATTGCCCTGTAGAACTGCACGAGTACGCCGAAACGATACAGGTACTTGGTTCATCGCTTTAAGATCATGAATATAATGCTAAAAATCCACTATAGGTCTCCAAGAACAGTGACGAGCACTGCGTCGTACCACTATACAATAGTCGGGCGATACGCTTGTACAAAACACAGCGAGGGACGGACGGAGTATTTATCATCTCTTTGATCATTGGCGGGAGAAAACATGTACAAAATTCAACCTAGGTGTGATTATAAATTAGATGTGCCATCTCTACGCCTGATATCTTCAAGCAAATAATCATCATGATTTACAAAAAGAGGCAGCATCAACAGTTGTTGTTTACCGTAAAAACCAGTTGTTGTTTACCGTAAAAACAACAAACACTACATAGTTATGCTATGACCCACGAAGTGAAGTGTTTCAGCGGTGCTAAATTGCCCATTATCTAATGTGAAAATGGCTATTATGAGGCTTAAAAACTCCTCGGTAAAGACTATGAATGGTTGTTCTATTCTGACGTTAAAATGCTTGAGATCATGACCATTATGTGAACGTAAATGAAGCACACAAATATCCTTTGTTGACATTCACTGTTTGATTGTTTCCGATCGTTTGCCAGCCCAGGAGGTCAGCGTGTCACCATTTCATCCTGTCATGTACGAAGAAAACTAATTAAAATGAGCACGGTACAAATCACATGTTCGCCTCTGGCAACAAGAAAGACATTCAGCATATTTAGTTCCTAAACCGTAAAACGCCTAATGTATAAACACCTAGCAAATGAGTGGCACCGGCTGATTTGCACATCAAAGCAAACTCGTCGGCAAAACATGTCAGGGCAATGTACGCACGATATTTGTACACCGTCACGCCAGTACCGAAGCCACACGCGCCCCACACTGGGCGCCGCCCTCCCCCTCCCCCTCCCCTCCAGGAGCGAGGAGCGGGTGTATGGCGCCGTCCCCTCCCCTCCAGCAGGGGCGTGTGGTGCCGTCCCCCTCCCCTCCAGCAGGGGGTGTGTGGCGCCGTCCCCTCCCCTCCAGCAGGGGTGTGTGGCGCCGTCCTCTCCCCTCCAGGGGGTATGTGGCGCCGTCCCCTCCCCTCCAGCAGGGGTGTGGCGCCGTCCCCTCCCCTCCAGCAGCGATGAGCGGGGGTGGCGCGGCGCGGCTCACCACACAGTGTGCATGCGGGACGCGTAGTTGCAGCACACGTCGCTCTGGAAGTCCCTGCCCGGCGTGCAGAAGATGGCCTCGCACATGCCGATGGTGGACATCTGCCACGTCAGCTGTGGCATGTTGAGCAGCGCCGCCGGCCCGGCCAGGATCTGCCCGACAACACACATAGCGTCGATTGACGTGCGGTGGTAGCGTAACAAGCGCGTGTATAATTCAGTGTAATTGAACATCCCTACAACGGCACCAGTAAATTAGCTGTGCTTGGAACAAACCAGAGCCCGTGATCCCCTGACAAACATGGCATTACATTGGCATTGGACAAACTTCTTGGCTCTACTAAACAAACTATAATAGAATAGAGGGATAGATTAATAGGACATCATTCATGCTTTTTTGCGTGGCAAAAAAGCATGATATCTCTCATTAGCCAGAATTAATCAAGTACCCTAGCTGAGGTTTGATGCACCATGAATCAATTAGACCAACCGGGTCATTTTTACGAAGTACGACCATACTAATTAGGGATCGAGATTTAATAACTCATTCACTGTGTGCGAAGCCGCGGTGCAGCAAAGTTTTGGTATAAAAAATACAAAATAAACCCGAATAAGTGGGAATATTAAATACCTACATAGCAGCGCATATCCCATTGATTATTTAAAATCGTCTCATCATCCCTGCCACCGCTGTGCTCGCCGAGAATCAAGCAGCAGCGGCAGCGGCCCACCTTCTCCATGAGGTCGGCGACCATCTCGAAGTCTGTCTGGGTCAGCTCGTCCAGCAGGTTGATGTCGGGAATGAAGAAGTGCGGCAGGTGTCGCTGTCGGATGTGGCGCAGCGTGCGGCGGGCCAGCCGCTGAAGCAGCTCCTCCTCGACACCCTCGGACCACTCGACGGCGCCGCGCAGGTCCAGCTCCCAGAACAGCACCGTCTGGGAACAGTGAGGCGGAGTGAGCGCCCCAGAGCGCCCCACAGGACAGGCTCTGGGCCGCTCACTCCGCCGAACTGTCTCCATAGTTGGTCCTGTAGAGTGACCGGCCCATAGCGCCCTACAGGACCCGCTGCGGAAACAGTTCAAGCGGAGTGAGCGGCCCAGAGCGCCCTACAGGACCCGCTGCGGAAACAGTTCGGCGGAGTGAGCGGCCCAGAGCGCCCTACAGGAACAACTAGGGAGACAGGGGGAGTGAGCGGCCCATAGACAAGAGGAGGTGACCGCTCCGCAGGTCCAGCATATATGTAGAACAGTACCGTCTTCACTCTATAGCAGCTGGAACATTTATTGAATGAACCCACCCGTTGTCGTCACCAATTTTTGCACTCAGCGTAGATTTGCTGACGAAGAAATTAATATCAAATGGGTTGTAACTTGCCTAGCTGACACTGACTGTGCCGCCTATAAATTCTTAGACCAGTTTCCCAAGAGAAAAATCACTGGCTGACAGCAGCATTTTTATTTCTTAATGTCTCTCACAAGCTCAACTGGCAATATGAAAAAGAAATAAGTGCTGGTGTGAAAACATCAGTCTGGCTGATAGAGCATCGCATGGTTGGCGAAATTTACAGACGAATTTCGAAAGAACATGTTTGCAGCCGGCTAATTTTCGGTTAATTACGCTTGCCTTTGAATAACCCAGCCAGCCTTCCCAAATGGGGCCCATATGGGCTGAAAGTGGGGCATCTGGGCTTAAGTGGGCATGGGCTACATGTGGGCTATTATCTGGGCTAAATCTGGGTCCCATATGGGCTGAGCCCCAGCAAACATGCCCACATGGGTCCCATATGGGGTGAACATGGGCCAGATGGGCCCACGTGGGACATGGGCTACAGATGGGCTACCCACATGGGCCCCATAGGGGATAAAAATGGGCCAGGTGGGCCAAACGCATGTGGGCTGGAGATGGGCATCCCATGTGGGTCCCATATGGGGTGAACATGGGCCAGATGGGCTCACGTGGGACATGGGCTACAGATGGGCAACCCATATGGGCCCCATATGGGATAAAAATGGGCCAGGTGGGCCAAACGCATGTGGGCTGGAGATGGGCATCCCATGTGGGTCCCATATGGGGTTAACATGGGCTAGATGGGCCCAGTGGGACATGGGCTACAGATGGGCTACCCATATGGGCCCCATGTGAGATAAAAATGGGCCAGGTGGGCCAAACTCATGTGGGCTGGAGATGGGCATCCCATGTGCGTCCCAGATGGGCCCACGTGGGACATGGGCTATATATGGGCCCCATAAGGGATAAAAATGAGCCAGGTGGGCCAAACGCATGTGGGCTGGAGATGGGCGTCCCATGTGGGTCCCATATGCGGTGAACATGGGCCAGATGGGCCCACGTGGGACATGGGCTACAGATGGGCTACCCATATGGGCCCCATATGGGATAAAAATGGGCCAGGTGGGCCAAACGCATGTGGGCTGGAGATGGGCATCCCATGTGGGTCCCATATGGGGTGAACATGGGCCAGATGGGCTCCCCAGCAAACATGCCCACATGGTTCCCATATGGGGCCCACATGGGCCCCCCACCTCTTCCATATGGGCCCCACATGGGAATGGCAGTGGGTGAAACGTGGGACCCATATGCGTCAGCCCACGTAGGCCCCATATGGGACCCACGCGGCGCCCACATGGGACCCATATGGGTAGCCCATCTGTAGCCCATGTCCCACGTGGGCCCATCTGGCCCATGTTCACCCCATATGGGACCCACATGGGATGCCCATCTCCAGCCCACATGCGTTTGGCCCATCTGGCCCATTTTTATCCCATATGGGGCCCATATGGGAAGCCCATCTGTAGCCCATGTCCCACGTGGGCCCATCTGGCCCATGTTCACCCCATATGGGACCCATGTGGGCATGTTTGCTGGGTCACGTGGGACATGGGCTACAGATGGGCTACCCATATGGGCCCCATATGTGATAAAAATGGGCCAGGTGGGCCAAACGCATGTGGGCTGGAGATGGGCATCCCATGTGGGTCCCATATGGGGTAAACATGGGCAAGATGGGCCCAGTGGGACATGGGCTACAGATGGGCTACCCATATGGGCCCCATAAGGGATAAAAATGAGCCAGGTGGGCCAAACGCATGTGGGCTGGAGATGGGCATCCCATGTGGGTCCCATATGCGGTGAACATGGGCCAGATGGGCCCACGTGGGAGTTGGGACATGGGCTACAGATGGGCTATCCATATGGCCCCATATGGGATAAAACTGGGCCAGGTGGGCCAAACGCATGTGGGCTGGAGATGGGCATCCCATGTGGGTCCCATATGGGGTGAACATGGGCCAGATGGGCTCACGTGGGACATGGGCTACAGATGGGCTACCCATATGGGCCCCATATGGGATAAAAATGGGCCAGGTGGGCCAATCGCATGTGGGCTGGAGATGGATATCCCATGTGGGTCCCATATGGGGTAAACATGGGCCAAATGGGCTCACGTGGGACATGGGCTACAGATGGGCTACCCATATGGGCCCCATATGGGAAAAATGGGCCAGGTGGGCCAAACGCATGTGGGCTGGAGATGGGCATCCCATGTGGGTCCCATATGGATCACCCATGTAGGCCCCATTTAAGTTACTCCAAGAGCATAAAAGCAAAAAAGGTGACTGTTGTTCATGTGAATTTTGGACTCCAAGTACATCAAGTTCATACATGATGCCATATGGGGTCAATGTAGGCTGGCCCATATGGGTCCCTGATGTGGGGGCCGCGTGGGTCTCATATGGGGCCTACGTGGGCTTGCCCATATGGGTCCCATGTGTCACCCACTGCTATTCCCATGTGGGGCCCATATGGAAGAGGTGGGGGGCCATGTGGGCCCCATATGGGAACCATGTGGGCATGTTTGCTGGGATATGGACATTTCCTTTACTACAAAATGTTGGTATCTGACCCGACACCTATCTGGGCTGGATGCGGGCAGCATGTGGGCAAACTGGACATCAACAAGCTGGGCACACCCAGCCGGGGCCCACATGGGGCCCGGCCGCCCACATGGACAAAATTTACTACAAAACTTTGTTAACTGACCCGACACCTAGGTATCTGGGCTGGATGCGGGCAGCATGTGGGCAAACTGGACACCAACACGCTGGGCACACCCAGCCGGGGCCCACATGGGGCCCAGCCGCCCACATGGGCAAAATTTACTACAAAACTTTGTTAACTGACCCGACACCTATCTGGGCTGGATGCGGGCAGCATGTGGGCAGACTGGGCACCAACAAGCTGGGCACACCCATCCGGGGCCCACATGGGCAAAAGTTACTACAAAACTAATTGTTAACTGACCCGACACCTACACCAATCTGCAATAAACATTTCCTTTATTACAAAATTTTGTTAACTGACCCGGCACCTATCTGGGCTGGATGCGGGCAGCATGTGGGCAAACTGGGCACCAACAAGCTGGGCACACCCATCCGGGGCCCACATGAGGCCCAAATGGGCAAACTTTACTACACTTTGTTAACTGACCCGACACCTATCTGGGCTGGATGCGGGCAGCATGTGGGCAGACTGGGCACCAACAAGCTGGGCACACCCATCCGGGGCCCACATGGGGCCCAAATGGGCAAACCTTACTACAAAACTTTGTTAACTGACCCGACACCTATCTGGGCTGGATGCGGGCAGCATGTGGGCAGACTGGGCACCAACAAACTGGGCACACCCATCCGGGGCCCACGTGGGGCCCAAATGGGCAAACCCCAGCCAGCATGCCCATGTGGGCCCCACATGGGCAGTTGATGGGCATGGTGGGCTAGGTGGGCCATGGGCTAGAGATGGGCAAATATGTGGGCTGCATGTGGGCCCCACATGGGCTGCCCACATATTTTTTGGCAGGCATAATGCTTGATAATGAGATTGCTTGCACATGTACGAGGGCATATCCAGGAATTTTGGTGAACACAGGCATTCACGCGGTGTTCCTGTATGGTGGGCTTAACATGGGCACTGCGTGGGCAGCCCATGTAGTGGGGTGTAGGTGGGCTGGATGTGGGCAGCCCATTATTTATTTTTTCACTGTCCAATGTGTATGATATTACAAGAAAAAAGAACTCGCTGTTTAGTCTCATACCTCCAAAATACACTTCGACGTCGTGAGGAAGTCGCATAGTTGATGTTTGTGAGACCAGCTACGGCTGATATTGGAGAGTCAATGTTGTGATTGTGTCGTATGATTGTGTCGCCTGAGCCCGCCCCTGCGCGGGCGACCCGCCGGCGGAGCTCGGCCCACCGGACGGGGCCTGGGGCCGCCTCTGCACCGCCCGGGGCGGTGACCGGCCGACCGGCTGGCGGGGCTGCGGCGTCTGGGCGGGCCAGTTGGCGTTGAGACTCTGAGTGGTGTGCGTGTCCAATAAAGCCTTAATTCGGGCGGAACCGACACATGGCGCGGTCGGTATTAGCTCGAACCCGCCCATAGTGAGTACAAAGTGCGATTAACGAAAGTGAAAGGAAGCAGGAATGCGTAGCCGTGGCGGCCGCGCCGCAACCACGACCGCGTTCGAGTCTCTTCGGAGAGGCGCGCCCGCAGCGACGCCAGCTGTATCGCTAGTTGGTCGAGTCGCAGCTGTGACATCAGGACGTAGTCGTCCCATCTCTCCTTCCAGAGGTAGAAGGCGTCACTGCGGTCGGTGGAGATGTCCAGTCGGTCAGGCCGGATCGGCTGCAGGCTCGTCATACCACAGCGATTACGAAGGACTGTTCTAGAAGCCCTCCACGCCAGCCACCTGGGGAAGGAGAAAACGAAGGCCCGCGCAAGACAGATCGTCTACTGGCCCGGGATCTACCGGGATGTGGAAAATGACACCCGCTGCTGTACCAGCTGCCAGAGAGATCTACTCGCTCAGCAGCAAGAGACCATGATGAGGAGACCGCCAGCGGAAAGGCCGTTCGAACTACACAT